GTAGCTGGTGAAAAAAAAAAAAAAAAAAAAAAACATAATCATTATTTTATACAAAAACATTTACATCGAGGTTGGGTAGACTTTGTCTTCGAGATTCACGGGGTGGATCTACCTAAGGCCCTTGTCCACAAACATTGTGAATTATATTGTCCTCACGTTTTTATTGGTTAAATTTAATTTAACCAACCAAAGGTAGAGGTGAAAATGAGATGAATTGGGTACATTAAGAATGATTTATAAAAACTTAGACAAATCCTATAAAAACTAGAAACCCAACTCCTCCCATCACAATTCAAAAACGAATGGTTGGTACCGTGGAAGATGGAAAAGAGGGAGAGAGATGTCATAATTCGATGTTTGATACCTCAAATTTTAGACTGTGATTTGAAAGACAAGACAACCACGGTAAATAAATGAAGGAAAAATACGGTAAAAATTTCTGTCAATTAAAATTATACAACACCATAGTCAAAATCCAAAACAAAAACAACATAAAATAGGTGTCGTTCAATTTATTTACAGATGAGGAATGGGAGTGGGATACAAAATAAATACGAATGACAACCTACAAAATATAGATTAAACTGACGCCGAGAGTGAACACCCTACTATGATATTGTAGCTCTTGAGCACATCTGCAGTTCAACTAGTACCTATGATCACCAGAATAAAAGGGGAAAGGGTGGGGTATAAAATACTCAGTAAGTAATCTATTGGTATGCTCCCATCGCATCCTTAACCTAGTAGGTCACCACGGGCTTTTCTCTAGGCTCCAAGTAGTTAGAATCATATCTAGTGCTATATGAACAACTGGGGAGGTCTCTTAGTATCGAGTTGTTCTCTGGTTTGAATCTTATCCTCTAGGAATTTGTATCGGTTCTACAACATTTGTGTTTTTTGAATTAGGGTACCTTTTTTGCAATGTAGTGAGAGATTGGTGTCTTGGGTTGAGGTGCTATCTTAGAAAGATTTGATGAGACAATATGGTATCGACTAATCTGAACATATGGAACGTTAGTTGACAAACCCTTTTGTTAAGGATAGTTGACCGTTCATTATAAGGCAGATATTTGCCTTACATTACGGCTTATCATATTTGCCCTTTATTGTATTCATTTATTATTCTGTCATTTTATTGCTATTTCCATATTATTTGTAATTTACCATATTTCTGTATTCGGTAAATAATTATAAATAAGAGAACTCTCACCACCATTTAGGTGTGGTGGATTCAGCAAACATTTACATGGTATCAGAGCCCTTTCGGTTTAACAACCCTGACCCTTTCTTCTCTATGGCTTCCGAATCTTCTTATCATCTTCTTCCTTTCAATACTCTAATCCATATGATCACCATCAAACTTTCTTCCTCCAATTATCTTCTTTGGAAAAGCCAACTTCTCCCTCTCCTTGAGAGTCAAGACATGCTGGGCTAGGTTGATGGAACTATGGTTCCACCACCTCGCTTTGAACCAGAAACCTCCTCAACACTCAACCTTAAATATTTGGCATGGAGAGCAGCCGATCAACGACTTCTTTGTCTCCTGCTCTCCTCTCTCACCGAGGAAGCTATGGTTGTTGTTGTTGGTCTCTCTACTGCACGTGATGTTTGGCTTGCGTTGGAAACTACGTTCAGCCATCAGTCGAAAGCTCGTGAACTAAGACTCAAGGATGACTTGCAGTTGATGAAACGTGGCACCAAACTTGTTGCTGAGTATGCCCGTGCCTTCCAACTTCATGCCATTGGCAGACCCGTCGAGGACATTGATAAAGTGCACTGGTTCCTTCGTGGACTCGGCACCGAATTTCAGCTTTTTCTACTGCTCAGATGGCTCTCACCCCTATCCCCTGTTTTGCAGATTTAGTCTCTAAAGCTAAAAGTTTTGAGTTGTTCCAGCGCTCCCTTGAGTCCTCTAACTTCACTCCTACAGCATTCACAGCCACTAATCGTGGTCGCACCCATGGAAGCCACCCTGCTTCCTTTACCAACCAGCGAGGTCGTTTTTATTCTCACAAAAACAACTCTTCTAATCGAGGACGAACCCACTCAAGTCAGGGTCGTCGACCACCTCACTGCCAAATATGCCGCAAAGAGGGCCATTATGCTGACCGCTGCAACCAACGGTATGTTCAACCTGATTCTTCTCATGCTCACCTTGCTGAAGCCTTTAACACGTCATGTTCTATTGTTGGACCCGATGCTGCTGATTGGTTTCTAGACACTGGAGCTTCGGCCTCATATGACTGTCGACCCATCTATTCTGGATTAGTATAAAAATTACACGGGTAAGAACTCTGTGATCGTAGGAAACGGTGCATCCCTACGAAAATACTTCCTGCTTATACTGAGCTTAATTACCCACACTGGTACTCTTTCTCCTGTTCCAAATATTCACTTATTAGATGTCTTGGTTGTCCCTCACCTCACTAAAAATCTTCTTTCCATAAGTAAATTAACGTCTGATTTTCCTCTCTCCGTTACATTTACTAATAATCTTATTACTATCCAGAATCGTCAAATAGGAAAGGTGGTGGCAACCGGTAAAAGAGATGGAGGACTATATGTGCTGGAGCGCGGCAACTCTGCTTTTATTTCAGCCCTTAGAAACAAATCTTTACGTGCTTCATATGACTTATGGCATGCTCGTCTGGGTCATGTGAATCATTCTATTATTTCTTTTTTAAATAGAAAAGGTCATCTTTCTCTTGCGTCGTTATTGCCTTCTCCATCATTATGTAATACTTGTCAGCTTGCGAAAAGTCATCGATTGCCTTATTCCCGCAATGAACGTAGGTCGTCTCATGTGTTAGATCTTATTCATTGTGATCTTTGGGGTCCTTCTCCCGTCAAATCAAATTCAGGTTTTCTTTATTATGTTATTTTTATTGATGATTATTCTCAATTCACTTGGCTTTACGCTTTAAAATTTAAATCTGATTTTTTTGATATTTTTCTTCAATTTCAAAAATTTGTGGAAAATCAATATTCTTCTCGTATCAAGGTATTTCAAAGAAATGGTGGTACCGAATTTACTAGTTCTTGTTTCAAAACTCATTTACGTAATTCTGGCATCCACCATCAACTCTCTTATCCATATACACCTGCTCAAAATGGTCGTGCTGAGAGAAAACATCGTCATGTGACTGAGATTGGCTTGGCCCTTCTCTTTCACTCTCATCTTTCTCCTCGTTTTTGGGTTGACGCCTTCAGCACTGCAGCTTATATTATCAACCGGTTGCCTACTCCACTTCTTGGAGGTAAGTCACCCTTTGAACTCCTTTATGGCTACACTCCACATTATGACAATTTTCATCCCTTTGGTTGTCATGTTTATCCTTATTTGCGTGATTATATGCCTAACAAGCTTTCTCCCCGCAGCATTCCTTGTATTTTTTTGGGTTATAGTCCTGCTCATAAAGGGTTCCGCTGTCTTGATCCCGCCACCACTAAGCTATATATCACCTGTCATGCTCAATTTGATGAAACTCACTTTCCTGCTATCCCTAGCTCCCAGGCCCAACCTCTTTCCTCTATTCATATTTCAAATTTCTTGGATCCACATCTTCATCATATTGATTCATCCCCCCTACCACTTCATCATCGCACATTCCTCGATCCAGTTCATCCCCATATGATATTTGTTCTAACCTTGTAGATGAGTCTGTGCAAGTTGATACTTCTCTTGCAGGTTTTACTTTGCCACCCTCGACTTCTAATTCAACCTCTATTGAACCTACTGTTGATTTCTCTTCTTTGGGCACTCATCTTATGATCACACGAGCAAAAGCTGGTATATTCAAGACTCGTCATCCAGCAAATCTTGGTATTTTGGGCTCATCTAGACTTCTTTCTACTCTTCTTGCATCCACTGAGCCAAAAGGATTTATATCTGCGGCTAAGAATCCTGCTTGGGTGGCTGCCATGGATGAAGAAATTCGAGCGTTACAACAAAATGATACTTGGACTTTGGCTCCTCGCCCTGCCAACACCAACATCGTGGGCTCTAAATGGGTGTTTCGTATTAAATATTTACCTGATGAATTCGTCGAGCGTTTCAAGGCTCTTCTTGTTGCCGAAGGTTATACTCAGGTTCCTGGTCTTGACTACACTGACACTTTCAGTCCGGTTGTCAAAGCTACCACTGTCCGTGTTGTGCTTTCTATTGCAGTCACAAATAAATGATCTCTTCGACAACTTGATGTCAAGAATACTTTTCTCAATGGAACTCTTATTGAATGTGTTCATATGGAACAACCTCCTGGGTATATTGATCATTGATTTCCCACTCATGTTTGTCTATTAAAGAAAGTCCTTTATGGCTTAAAGCAAGCTCCT